GACCATCTCCTTCCCACGGTGCTTCCAGTCCTTGTTCCACCTATCGTGGCATCATCACCACCGCTAAGGTGGCCAGCGGCCTTGGCTTTCCCTCCGAAGTTGGCCTGGACAGCCTCCTTGTCGATGGGGTACTGGGTGGCAATGTCTAGGAGCTCCCGCGTCGTGCGCGGGGTCTCGTGGCCGAGCACGTGGACGAGCGCCTCGCAGGTCGTGCCATAGATGAAGGCGTTGATCACGTTGGCGTCGATGATGTTTGGGAGCTCATTGCGTTTCTTGGAGAAGCGTTGAATGTACTCCCGGAGGGTCTCATCGGCCCTCTGCTTGCAGTTGTAGAGATCCCAGGAGTTCCCCGAGTGGGTGTAGGTACCCTAGAAGTGGCCGATGAAGACCGCACGGAGATCGCCCTAGTAGTGGATGCTGCCAGGCTCGAGCTACTCAAGCCAAGCTCTGGTTGAGCTTGACAGAAGTAGAGGAAGGTACTGGATGGCGAAGTCGTCGTCATCGACCCCCGGCCTTCATGGCAAGGCGATAGTCCTCTAGCCAATGGTTCGAGTTGGTCTCGCCGTCATACTTGGAGATGTGTGTTGGCGGTCGAAAATGCCTAGGGTAGGGGGCTGCCTGAATCGCTGCCCTGAACGCTAGGGGGGCAAAGTGATTCAGGACGGGCCCCCACCCCATTGCTCAGGGGTACATGACTGCGCCTGAGCGTGGTGCCTGGCCTCAATGGTGTCGTGAACGTCACGATCGTCACCGATCCAGTGCCGCGCGAGGGAACGCCAAGGAGAAAGGTCACGCCTTCGCTCTTACCAAGGCTTGGCGCCCTAGGTCCCCGGCCGGTCGAAGCTGTTGCTGGAGGTGTCATCGCTACTCCCTGCCACCCGCGGGGTGTGAGCGTCAGAGCGCCCCCCATTGACAGTGGCCGTCGTCTAGGATGGCCGGGAGAGCGCGACGCGGCGACGAGAGGCTGAACTTTTGGACTGTTGCTCGAGGGCGACGTGGAGGAGCCTCTTCGCCTTGTTCAGCCGCTCGTTGGTCTTCGTGTCCGGCGTGTTGGAGATGTCTTCTAGGTGGCAAGCAGCGGCCGCCATGTTGTACGCCTTTGGGGGAAGCAAAGGCCGTTGGGAGCCCCCGTGCGGGCGTCGTCATCATCGCCGAGAGGGTGCGCGGTTTGCTGCTACGCAAAGTCCTGCCTTTGGCACTTGAGCTCTGCCTCGATGGTCTCCAAGTCCACCTACCGTGCGCGCAAGCGGTCCACCTTCTCCTAAAGGTAGGCCACGCGGCTGCGGGTACTCTAGTCCAGCGGCGTGAGCCCGGGCGCCTCCTCAGCAAGATCATCGACGTTGACATGGTAGCACATGCACGGCGGTGCATCGTAGTCGATGTCGTCGAAGTTGTACTCTAGTCCGTTCCTCGAGAGGACCTCGAGGAAGGCGCGGAGCGAGGGGACGTCAGTCCCTGCTGCACCGGAGAGGATGATGCTTCGCGGCGCCTCGCGACTGATGAGGTGCTCCAGCTCTAGCTAGAAGGACATCGCCGCATTCTGTATCTCGAAAGGTAGGTCCGATAGGTAGTACCACAAGGGATCAGGCAGTGGGAGCACCTCACCGGTGGCGATCTAGCGGTGGACGTTGGCCAGCATGTAGAACGTCTGGTGGCGGTCCAACACGATGGGGTTTGGGCCTAGACCGTGCTGGATTTGAAGGGCCAGCACCTCGAGATCTTCTCCCAAGAGTCCTGGTGGAGGAGGCAGCATCGGGTGCTCGTTGCCTGCCGGTGTAGCCCCGTGGAGTGGACGAAGCTCGCCGTAGCAGTCGACGATGTAGGCCAGGCTCCCAAAGTTGAGGACCTGGCCTAGAGCGAAGGCGTCAGCCACGACGGAGAACTCGCCGGGGAAGCGGACACCGTCGTCTAGGGTGGCTCCGCTTGCTCCGGCGATGAGGCGGGTGGCTCCGGTCACCATAGAGCTAGAATCGCACTTGACGCTGCCCCCTACCAGGCACACCAGCTATCGCAGGGTCGAAACTGCAGCAAGCATGCTGTTCGAGTCGGTGTCAGAGTACGGGGTCTCCGGTGGCTCGGGTGGACTTAGGAACACAAGAATCACGCAGAGAGGACACAACAATTTATCCTGGTTCGGGCCAATTCGGTCCCGACATCCAGCAGCTGATGATCCTTATACTCAAGAGCACCCAAAATCTAGGGGTTTACAACAGAGTGTAAAGGAAGAAAGTTTGGTAGGGGGGTTAGCTCGGTGCTAATCCTAAGGTTGCCTCGCCGCCAGTGGAGTCTCTACCTCATCAGAGAGGAAGGAGACGACGGGATGCGGTGGAGGAGGGGCTCTCGGTGCCCCTCTCTGGGTTGCCTTGCTCTCGGCGTAGAGCGGAGGCAGATGGAATGGAATGGAGTGTCTGGTGATCGAACTGGGATCCTCCCTCCCCTCTAGGTCCGACCCTATCCCTTATATAATGAGATAGGTCGGGTACAAGACGGTTTGGGGGTTCTAGTCTATGGTCTATGTGCGCCGAAGTCTAGGAGGGGCTTGCAGCGGTGTGTCGTGGACCGTTGTGGTGTCTTGGAGCCGAAGAAGCCTGGGCGTCGTCCGGCTGCTCTGTTCTGACACTCTGCGTGTCAGAGGGTGTCGGCTTGGACCGGCCTCCCCCGGGTGAGACCTTCTGGAGTCTTCTTGGTGGTGAATGAGGTCGGCTCCAGGGGATGACGTGCGGGCTCGGAAGCCCCCGAGCCCTCGGAGGCCGCGGGAACCTTTGTCTTCTTGTGTCACGCCCCAGACGTGACCCTGTCGGAGGAGCAGCTGGCAGGGGCACGCCTAGGGAGCGACGCTAGGGAGCCCCCGGGCATCGATAGTCTAGGGCTTGTCTTCTTGTGCCCAGGCCTTGGCTGGCATCGTTAGCCGGGCAGGAGCCAAGGGCCAGGCCTGGAGGCGCCGTAGATCGGGAGCCCAAGGCTCGAGAAGCCCCAAGCCCCAGGCGAAAGCTGTGGTCGAGTCAGGCTCGGTCGGGTCTCTTTGCCAGAGGGTGCGCGCGAGCGTGCCCGATAGGCATAGCCCTTGAGCCCCTGGGCGATTCTGAAGGGGTCGGTCGGGGGGTCTTCTTCGTTCTGGAACCATTGGACCCGAGACTTAACATACCTGTATGTTAGGATCTCATGAGTACCCCTTTTATCATTAGGCATGCGAATATATGAAAATATGAAATCACTTCATATATTTGGACTATACAACCTTCGTCCCAAAACAAATGTAATTCTTACCTTTCATAGAGTCAAATAATTTTAACTTTGACTATTTTATATAAAAAGTACTATTTTTTATATCAAATAAGTATCATTAGATTGATTATGAAATATATTTTCATGATAAATCTATTTGGAGACACAAATGTTGATATTTTCATTCTATAAAATAGGTCAAACTAGAGAAAGTTTGACTAATTTAAATCTAAAATTATATATATTTTTGGGACGGAGGGTGTATATCTCTACTTTTTAAGCTGATTGAGGTTGTTCAAAAGGCATTGCGGTGATTAGGACATGTAATTGTTTGTGTTGTGAATGCGATGAGTTGTTGAAAAATAATGGTTAAGTAATTGGCAAACACATTGAATCAATTTATTTTGAGACAAACTTCAAATCTGAATTCAAAAATCACCAAGGGAAACAAAAAGACCGGTGAAAGAAGAAACATAGAAACAAACGAAGAAAAAGAAGGGTTTAGGATTTGAGATAAACCCATATGGTATTGATATCTTTGTGTTTATCCTTACACGAGTCACACATTTTCAGTTACTATTATCTAACCAACGCTATTCTGATATTTTCACGATCAGCTAAACTACTTAATCAGCTATTAGTACCGAAGTAGCACCAAAAAAGGTTGTTGTCATTAGATATATTGCTCACAGCACATGCCACTATTTGTTCCATTTTTTTTGTGTGATGGATCTGAGTGACAAATCATTCATGGAAACAACCTAAAATGCTAAACCGGCCACTGGTTAGGTGTATAACGAATACATGTCATGGCAAACCAGTGACGGAAAAGGACGTGATGATGCAAAGGCTGAAAGGCATGATTAAACCATACTTTCGCCATGCTGACTGCCTGAACGTGCCCTTGATATCCAAAGGCGACTTTAATATTGCATATGTACGTGGCATACAATTGCAAGGCCCCTATCTAATATCTCGTGTTTTCAAATTCCAAGAACAAAAAAAAAGTAAGGTAATTAGGCAGGAGAAAAAGTAGCTTCTGTTCACAACTGCCTGACTGTTGAGCTTCCATGCGTGATGCCGTGAACAAGGTCGGTACTTAGCATTCCAGCACTGGCTTTTCATACGGAGGCACACGGAGGGTACCTCACTGCCTCTTGCATACTGTCCATTTATGATGGACTGATGCCATTGTGGCCAGCATGCAGTAATCAAGTCAAACATTGGCCAGTTTAAACCGGAAACCAGAATATCAATGCTGCTATTGAGGCTGTATAAAGAAAGAGAAGCATAGTTCAGACACTCTGAAATGATGACATGCAAGCCAGTCATGTAAAAAGGGCGTACCAGTGCAGAGAGCTCCCGCTCTGTGCGGGGTCTGGGGAAGGGAATCAGTGGCAAGCCTTACCCTCGCCTGTGCAATGCGAGGAGACCGCGACTTGAACCCGGGACCTTCAGATCACAGGCGGTAAGACTCTACCGCTTACACCAGGCCCGCCCTTCATGTAACATCATAATAACGCAATAATCATCTCCGCACATGAAGGTGCCTGCAGTTCAAAGATAGGCCAACCATTATGCTGAAAACCTTGCTGATATCTTGTATAATGGCAATGCTAAAAATCAAGTTTGACCCAAATTGAATATCAAATGTCCTGAAAAATGCAAGCTTCGCCTCTGGTTTCACTCACCTGATGTGGCCTGCTGCTGTTTCTTCAGGGGAGCTCTCATTAATCTTAGAACCTGGTAAAAGATATTAGGGGCTATATAATGTTCTAGCATTCCAGATACTCCTTCAGGTCCAGCATCAATGCACTATTCCAGTATATCTGAGAGGTGCTGCACTCAGGAAGTGTCGGAACACCTAGCTCAGATGAAACATCCTCGAGGACCTCCGCTAAATCTGAATCCCAAAGTCCTAACCTGCAGACCTTTCTGTACACTTCAAAACCTGCAGCTTTCAGACCTTCTGAGAAGAATCTATTTAGCGAGGGGCCTTCTGAGTTTATTTCTTTTAGTAACTGCGTTGCAGTATTAGAATCACGGAATATCAAAGCTGAGCATGTCTTATCCAACAACTTGACCTCAAAATCTTCTGAGAAGGCTTGATGTAAGCCAATAAGGTAAGATTTTAACTCCTTGACAGATTTTTCCCTAAAGCCCCACAAGAAGATGATGTTATCAGTGCTCACAGTTTCTGTGGTGTCTGACTCAATAGCAAAGTTGGCATCATCAGAACCTTCGACCACACAACTTGGATAGAAGATGTTACAATATTCTTCAACTGCAGTGCACTGCTCACGAGATTGCAGTTGGCACTCAGGACTGATTTTCAGTAAATTACTTAGTTTAGCAAATAACTTTGTTATTCTCAGAACATTTTGCTCATTTTTTGTTACACTGCTGGTACCATCTGTGCAAAAGTTAAAAAAGAGAGAGAAAGAGAGCTTAACTGAAATGCTAGTGAGGAAGCACTATGAATATATAGATAACAGTTTGATGTTCGTGTTACTAATTACCAACAACATACTCTACATTCTATTTTCTAAAGTATGAGGGAGAACGTAAGGCATGGTTTACTAAGAAACAAGATGTATGAATAATGTTAGCTGGAATTATACCTTGCTGTGGTATTTCTATTTCAATTGGCACAAAGTACTGTCTTTGTAAGTAACTGAGAGCGGCTTGTATATTCTTCGCTTTTCTCAAAGGGCCAATTTGCCTCCACAGGTGGTTGATATCAACAACATTAGAGAAGACCATTTTTAGAGAACACATAAATTCATGCAAGTTTGGCGGAAGAGGTGCAATGAATTTGGTGTGCAGCATTGTCATATCTGAGAAAAAAAGAAAAAAAAATGACATGTGAATATATCAAGAGGTTAACAAGCCATATAATTGTGCAAGTTGGTTATGTGTCAACCTACCATTCAAGCAATTGTACGATATGATTGGCTTCTGTGAAGATGATAGTAGATCAATAACTTCTCGAAATCCACGGAATTTAAAGTTTTGTTCATCTTCTAATTTCTGGATATCCATCTGCAAGTGAGTCGGAGAAAATGGACTTTAAATAAGTTGTGGTTTTTGATATCTTATTGTTTTTATATATTGTACATAATGCTGTTGATTTCTTGAGAAGCAGAGATTCAAACCAGGAGAAGATTCTTATCCTCTTTCGAGTTAGTAAAGATCACACGCACGGACCTAGCAGCTCCAGCTTTGTGCGGAACAACGAGAGATACAAGGTCATCAGAGATATGGTTTACTGCCTGCAGAATAACTCGAAATGGTTAAAGAATGCTCCAGTACAGTTGAGTTACCATTTGGCTCTGTAAAGAAGAGGGAATTCAAAAGCGACATTTGGAGCAACCAATTTTTCAGTAATCACAGTTTCCTACAATTACATACAGAACAGCTTATTTCAACTACATCTTTCATATTAAACGCATGACATGAAATTTTGATCATTCAACTCTTTGCAGGATTGATAATTGCAACCAAAGAACATGAACTAGGGACTCATAATTTGCTTCCTTAAGTACAAAACCATTTCTTCCTTTTCTAGAGAAAACATCAAACTTATGTTGTAGAATCACACCTCCAAGACCAGTTGAACTTGCCGATCACTGCAGACATCAATACTCATACTGGGCCTGGAACCATATGTTTCACCACCCAAAATTAATCTGCTAAGGGAACTAACCAAAGTACCTGCACAATAAGAAGACTAGGAGCCATCAAAGTGAAAGACAAGAGTGGTGAGCTGTAAGCATTTATCAAAACTCAAAAGTAACCTACCATCATCTTTTTTACTTGGGTCAGCATATCCTTTTCGCCAGTGCAATATCTTAGCCTTTATTCTATTCACGAAAACTGAATCCGAAACTGATGTGCTTGGAGATGGCAACAATTGTTGAGGACGAGGAGTAAAGATCTTTTGCCTTGCTAAGGATTCTTGAACCCTTGATAGATAAGAAATACCTGGCAATGTAATCAACAGAAAATTAGTCCTCTGTATATCAAACACCCTTACTACTACATCAGTTTATTTTTATAAGGCGTATTAGGATTTGGGGAGTCTATAGAATATAAGTGTACTTGTCTTTGACCACCAATTATTCTTACAATATATCACCAATTGCTACAAAAGATTTTTCTTATTAACAGATGTTTGGGATGTGAATCTATTGATACAAATTTTATCTAAAAACCATGTACATATTTTGAATAATTGTTGCCCAAACTTTATGAAGTTTGACTTTATTGAGTCCTTAATACAAACAGAGGGAGTAGTTGTTTTGGCACCGTATCTTACTACTCACCATCATATATGCACATATTGAAATCAAAACCATCATTAGCCATAGTTGATAAATAAGATGATTGACAAGAGAAACTGTATGAAGGCATTCCGAGCTGTAGTTCATCTCTAGGAAATAAGTGAAAATTGTACCTGTATAACCAAAGCACCCACAGGCACTCAGCATCAGTGATGATAAAATAAAAATGATAAGGCTGAAGTAAAGAAACATACAGCAGTGTCATCAAGTGAAAAAAGTGGATTGATCATCTATTCATCAAACCATACGAAATCAAATGAACACATACCAAAAAGGATCCTGGAAACTTTTCTCGGCACACATGGAAAATATGATTGTACAAAAAAAAAAAGCAAAGAACACAAAATCTAGTGGTCTCAAGTCAACTCCCATGCATGCTAGTTTCTCACATAGCAATTCTAGCTAAACCTCTTCAGACATAACATGGATGTACAACCTCCAGTCAAAAATACTTGACACATTTGACTTTGCACAGCCTTTGATGCGTATCTTTGACCACTAAGTTCTTTAAGAAAATGTTTTAAAATCCTTGAAATTCTAAGAGATTTTGCAAGTATTTTGAGTATGAATTCACTCATTTAACCTACAGGTTTCAAAACTAAAATTTAATAGTTATTGATGTTTGTAGTTTATAAGTTTTGCGCAAATCTTATCCTACACGACATGTTTTTGTGACCATAGAGTATTCCTTAATTGCTACAGAATAACTAAACTTCAGAAAAAGTCAATGTTACAACATTCACATTTCATACTACAATCTGAAAAAACAGCAGCATCCAATTATGGAAACAAAAGGTGTTTGACGAAATTCCTCAAGCTTAGCCTTCAAATAATAGGTTTATGCACCACACATTGCCCAATGCCCAACCAAATAGCAAAACCACCTTGCCAATTGTTAATGTTTCATGTGGACGACGGGTGAGAGAGAGGTCCTTACGGGTAGGCCACAAGGGTAGACGGGGAAGAGCTGCGCAGCCTGAAGGGGCAGACGGCGATCTGCAGCGGCTGGAAGGACTCTGCGGCGAGCTTGGCCTTGAGATAGGCCGTTTCCGCAGTGTCCACCGGCAGCGCGCGGCGCCACCCCGTCGGGGCGCCGGTCTTCTGCGCCGCCACGGCCACGTAGTCGCACGCCTCCAAGTGGGCCCCCAGCTCCCGCACGGCCTCCGCGAAGTTCTGCCTCGTCACCTGCTTTGCCGACGCCACCGCGGCGCGCGGGGCAGCCATGGGGCCAGTGGGGGGAAGCGGGGTGATCGACCGGTTGACAGGAACGGTCGGAGCGGCGGCGGCGCGCGGCGAGGGGGTGGCAATGCGGCGGCGCGCAGTCGGCGTTGCGTTCGGAGTCGCGGAGGCCGAATGCCAGTCAGTGGTGTAGCGGGCCGCACAAAGTTGGGCTGCTCTGGAGAGCAGAAGGGTTGGGCTGTTGCCCACCGTAGATTATAGGGCCCATCGCAAGCACAGGCGTCCTCCTCGCTAAAATTCCTGCCCCTTCGGCTTCAGGCGACACCAGCGACTGCTAGACACCTACCGCGCCTACCATCCGTTCCTCGACGCCGCCGCCGCCCGCGAGGCATCGGTGCTCCCCGTCAACAGGATCCCCGACGACTTCGACTGGTGGGACCACATCACCGTTGGCCCCATCAAGAACCAGGTCCGTCCTCCCAAATCCAGCACCCATAGAGCTATTCTCATGGTTGTCTCTTGATCGTTTTGATCTCGCCTTTCATGTCTAGACATTCTCTGGTTGATGTTTAGGTTCTCTTCTCGTCTACCAGCTGTTCACCTCCCGTCACATAATTCTAACTACTAAGTTAATTCTAACTACTACTAAGTTAGATTTTATTTTTCTCGACTAGCGAGGAGAGGTGCTTACTATTACATTAAAAACGGCTTTGATATTACCAAATCTGCTGTGATTTTACTTTTTGCATCGTGATGTAAGAACTAAGGATTAAGGTCCTGTCCGGATGTTGCAGTTTTGGAAGACTGCAGTGTCACAAAACTGTGGTTTTATAAGCCAAAGAGACACAAAACCGTGGATTAGGAAAAAGAGGTCACGAGTGAAGTTTCTAAAATTCCAAAAAGACTATAGTTTTGATAAAACTATGGTTTTAGAGACTACATGATTTGTTGTATCCAAACACCTGGTAGCTTTTGAAAATCAAAGTATTTTGTAAAGCCATAGTATTTCTCTAAAAAAAAAGGGCGTACCCAGTGTAGAGAGCTCCCGCGCGTGGTCTGAGAAAGGGTGTCAGTGGCAAGCCTTATCCTCGCCTGTGCAATGCGAGGAGACCGTGACTCGAACCCGGGACATTCCAGTCATAGGCGGTAAGACTCTAAAGCCATAGTATTTCTCTAATACTTCAAAAATACTTTGCATCCAAACAAGATGCTAAATAAACCTGGAAAATACTATATCTGCAACTTTGTATGTCATGGATATTCAGGATTGATATACTTTGATTCTATATAATATAAATGGATGTAACTGCAGTTGCTGTTGTCTTTGAAAAAACAAATCTATCATGATTTTTGGTAGATTTTCACCTCAGCATTCATTTTTTTTTCAATTTTCTTGATTTACTCCTCAGCATTCATAATATTTTTGTTGTTTTTTAAATGTATACTTTAATTCTTTGAGACAAGTTTTCTTGTGATTTTTTAATAGTTTTGGTCTTATTTGTAGTTAATTTCACGTAGTATTGAATTATTTGTGCTATCTCACAGCAGGTGAAGGCAGTGAAGTGTTGAATTGCTGACCTAGTTGCCTGGGTTGGCATAACTGCTAGTGCCCTGTTCGCTTGGCTTATAAGCTGTACTTTTTCAGCCAACAAACATTATTTTTCTCTCACAATAAATCAGCCAACAGTACTTTCAGCCATGGCTTATCATCCAAGCGAACAGGGCATAGGTTGTGGAATTGGTTCAGAACCAGAGTCTAGGGATTCATTGGATCTATTTACAGGATAGTCGTTTGGATTGTTTGGGTTGAAACTGCTGGTGGTTGAGATTGTTTGGTTTTGGAAGCTAGACTGGTGCGAAGGATTGATTTGGTCTTTGTGCATGAATAGAACAGTGTGGTGTGGATTTGGTCTAGTTTTTAGGCTCTTAGCAGGCTCAAAAGTGGAGATGTGCCACTGAGGCCTAAGGGTTTACTGTGTTTTTTGTACAGCAATAAGGGGGCAAGTGAGAAGGATGAGGCTGGTGGGGTTGACGGGAGGCATCGCATCTGGGAAGAGCACCGTCTCCAACCTCTTTAGGGACTCTGGTGTACCCGTCGTGGACGCCGATGTCGTTGCTCGGGTAAGCAAGCAGACCAAACCTAAAGCTATCTGATGTTATTCGTGCAAAGGCTGCTAGTTTTTAGGTATGAAATTGCTTGTCTTTAGTTTTGTCAGTTTGATATGTTACTAATATCACATCATGTAGTTGGAAAAATGCCTTTACATGGAGTACCAAGTGTAGATTGGTAATTGTATTCAATCTTACGCCTTTCTTGCCTCTCATAGTGCGACCATAGTAAGATTTTGCCTAATTGCTATTAATTATCTCTCTTGGCTACGCAAATAGCACTTTTGGTCAAAATCAAAGATGGAGGTAGAGCCTGGTCCTTAGTGGGGCTTGTGAAAATTGGTGTAACGTGATGCCTTCTCAGGCTCACGGCTCCATGTTATATAGGCTAGGAAAGCCCCTAGTGTGGCATTACATATTGGAGTACAAGACAAGAAAGATTTATATGGAAAGAAAGATATCAATCAATCAATCTACTACAATACAAGGAAACAACAAATATGGAGCCATATCTACATTTCCTTGAGAAACAATCCGCATCACCGTGACAGTTCATGCGATTGTTTCTCAAGGCAATGTAGATACGGCTTCATATTTGTTGTTTCCTTGTATTGTAAGTAGATTGTTTGATTGATATATCTCTTTCCATGTAAATCTTTCTTGTCTTGTAATCCAAGATGTACTGCCACGCTAGGGCCTTTTCCTAGCCTATATAACACGGAGCCGTGAGCCTGAGAAGGCATCACGTTCCACCCAATTTCATGTGGTAATCAAAGTTAGGTTCCTCCACGATCTAGATGATGGCTTCTTCTTCCGCTCCTGGTGCCTCGGTCTCCATAGGGTATCCTATCACTGAGAAGCTTGTGAAGAACAACTTCCCCCTCTGGAAGGCATAGGTGATGTCGGCTCTGTGTGGGGCACATGTGGCGCACTTCGTCAACCCTGACGCCCCTGTGCCGGCAAAGGAGATCGCCAAGTCGGCGTACAAACCGACGGAGATGATCCCCAATCCAGAGTATGATACCTAGGTTGCCAAGGATCAATAGGTTATGAATTATTTGCTTGCCTTCGTCTCTTGTGAAATTCTCATCCAAGTTGCCACCTACACTGCTGCAGCGGAAGTCTGGAAAGTTATTCAGGACATGTGCATGTCGCGATCCCGTGGCCGCGTCATCAACACTTATATGGCGCTCGCCACGGCGCAGAGGGGCGCGTCCATGATCGTGGAATTCTTGAACCGCACGGATGACATGGCATCTGCCGGGAAGATGCTGGGAGACGAGGAGATTGCCTCCTACATCCTCGCCGGCCTCGACGCTGACTTCAATCCTGTCGTCTCCGCTATGGCAGCGCGCACCGAGCCGCTGTCGCTTGGGGAACTCTACACCCAGCTAGTCAGCTGGGAGCAGCGCATGGGTCTGCTGCATGGCGGAGGGTCGTCTGTGAACTCCGCCACTCGTAGCGGTCGTGGTGGGAACGACGACCATGGCGGCGGCAATAGCTGTGGTCGCGGTCGTGGTCACGGCGATGGAGGACGGCCACCATAGCACAACGACTCCACCGGCGACCGCCCCACCAGTCAACTGTGGCAAGGAGGGCCACACGGTTCTACGCTGCTACAAACGCTTCGACGTCTCCTTCACTGGGCCGTCGGAGAATAGATCTACCTCAGCTGCGTCCACTTCCTACTGCGTCGACACCAACTAGTATACCGATACCGGCACCATCGACCACATTACTAGCGAGCTGGACAAGCTCACTATGAGGGACAAGTATGTTGGCATTTCTTAGCGCAATCACCAAGTGAGGAGGTTTTAAGTCCATCACCGGCAACGATGTCAGAAATGTCTGTTGGTATTTCTTAACACCATTACTAAGATTGAGTTAATCTTAGCAACGCCGCCAAGAAACACCAACTACGATAGTTCTTAACGATTACAGAAAATATCTGCAAACGCACGGATCTATCGTTGTAGCATTTCATCCGAAAGTATTCAGGGTATCGTTATTTATATTTTTCCAAAAGAGAGCAAGGTATAAGAGTCTAGCATAGATATAAACATTATTACATACTTGCATAGTGAACCATAGTACATGACAGGGGTAAAAACGGTATTCCATGGATAGTGGACATAGATCTGGGCCAACCTCAAGGATAAAAGAAAAACAAAGAATAAAAGAATGTTCCTACATGGAGTCGGCATATTCTAATATAGCCGTGCAAAGAACAGTTAATGATCATACAGGCTTTATGACTTTAGTTAGAACTAAGTGTGAGATGGACGGGGAGATCTTCGGACACTGGTCTGCTAGGAAGCCAGGGAGACTTTAAGACTCCTGCACAATGCCCAGACATGGGGGGTTACTAGGGACGGACAGGGCTGTCACCACCTGCCACCTACCCCTCAACCGTGGGATACCGTAATATCCGAAGGTTCCCGTGTACCCGAACACCACGCCCGTGTACAAGGAAACTACCCATATCCCCCGGGACTCCGACCCTACGGATCGACAAATAAGAAAATGGGCAAACCCGAAGGAACGACGAACCGTCACCCCAACCCTAGCTCTACTTCTACTCATACAAATCATATGAATGAATAAGCATGAAGTTGAACATGTTAAGATTATGACACACAAACTATATGCTAGTTCATATATCGTGATTATAACAAGACAACTATATCCTAGTTCTATAGCACAATTATATAAATGATATGAGAGCATGACTTTGGAAGAAATTCTATTTGTATTCATACAAGCTTTCTCTCTTTTCTTCCAAGGAGCCAAGCCCTCCTTGATAGCTCTTGCTAGCTCCAAACTACTACTAAGAACTAAAGATTACAAGTAGAGGTGAGGTGTGTAGCTCCAAATGAGGTGTGTGTGAGAGGTGAGCACTAGCCCTCTATTTATACTAATTCTTGGTCGGTTTGGCGCATGTATTTTTGGAAACCACCGTGGACCGACGTAGCATGGCGGCATGCAACCACCGGAGAAAGGTGGGGCCGAGAGGAGGCGGTGGGGGTGCGGCCGAACCCAGGGTGCGCCCGCACCCTGGTGGGCCCGCCTCGCGACCGCCTTCGCCTGGTCGGTTCCTGGATGGGCCTGGACCCTGTCCACGGTGGTATTTTGCCCAGGTAAGTTGTGAAGGTGGGCTTCTCTATTCATTTCCTTTGCGCATTTCTGCATCATGCTTTCTGGATAACGCATTTTGCTTAGTTTTGTTTATTTTCCACTTGTATTCGAATGTGTGACCTGCAAAACATGTTTTCTCCAATACAAGTGGAACTAGGTCAATAGTAAAGGTATATGTGTCAAAAGATTGTTTATTTCTCCTGTTTTGGACTATAATTGGCGGTCGGATGTTGTCGTTAGTGACCGCCAACAAAGTACCATGGCACCGATCAGGTGCACACCGCCAGCGGCGCATGTATGAGAATTAACCAGATTGGCCGAGTTTTGTTCATACCCCTAAACATGATCTTGTTCTAAACAATGTTCTTTATGTTCCAGAAGCTAGTATAAATCTTGCATCTGTTCGTCGCCTCACATCTGATAATCATGCCTTCATTGAATTTCATCCAAACTATTTTTTGGTTAAGGACCAGGCAACGAAGAAAATACTCCTTAGGGGAAATTGTGAAGGTGGTCTTTATTCCTTGAAGAATAAAGTGACATGCAGCACCGTCAAGTCCTTTGCTAGGTGGCAAAGCCGGCTAGGTCACCCCTCCTTTGCAGTTGTTGATCAGGTCCTTAGCAAAACTAGCATTCCTTTTGTTCCCGAGTCCAATAAAAAAACAGTTTGTGATGCCTGTCAGAAAGGCAAGAGCCATCAGCTTCCGTATCCTCGGTCAACAAGTGTATCTTCCAGTCCCTTTCAATTAGTCTTTTTGATGTATGGGGACAGACTCCCACCTCTGTTGGCAAGGACAATTTTTATGTCAATTTCATTGATGATTTTAGTAAGTTTACTTGGATCTACTTGCGCCATAAGTCTGAAGTTTTTGGGATAAAAATCATCAATTAAACTAACATAAAAATTGTTTTTACCAACAGAGGTGGGAGCCGGTCCTCATACATCAGAAAAGACTAACTCATAGGGACTAGATGATACACTTGTTGACGTCGGATACATAAGTTGATGGCTCTTGCCTTTCTGACAAGCATCACAAATGGTTTCTTTATTTGACTCGATAATAAAGGTATGCTATTCTTGCTAAGGACCTGATCGACAACTCCAAAGGAAGGGTGACCAAGCCGGCTATGCCACCTAGTCGAAGAGGACTTGACGGCGCCGCACGTCACTTTATTTGGAGACGAACTAGACTTCAAGGGATAAAGGCCACCTTCGCAGTTTCCTCTAAGAAGAATTTTCTTCGTTGCTTGATCCTTAACCAAAAAATAGTTTGGATGAAATTCAATTAAGGCATGATTGTTAGAAGTGAGACGATGAACAGATGCAAGATTTTTACTAGCTTCCGGAACATAGAGAACATTATTGAGGACAAGATCATGATTTGGGGTATGAACAAAACTTTGACCAATCTGGTTAATTCTCATACCTACGCTGCTGGCGGTGTGCACCTGATCGGTGCTGTGGTACTTGTCCCTCACCGTGAGCTTGTCGAGCTCGCCAGTGATGTGGTCGGTGGCGCCGGTGTCGGTGTACCAATTGGTGTTGACACCGTAGGAAGTGGAGGATGCTGATCTGCTCTCCGGCGGCCCGGTGAAGGACACGTCGAACCATGTGACCCTTCTTGCCACACAGTTGGCAGGTGGGGTGATCAGCGTTGGCGCCGTTGTGTTGTTGATGATGCCCTCCGCCGCCGCGACTGCGGCCACGGTTATTGCCGCTGCCACGGTTTCCTCCATCGTGGCCGCCTCGGGTAGCCGAGTTAGCTGAAGACCCCGGACCATGTAGTAGATCCATGCGTTGTTCCTAGCTGACGAGTTGGGTGTAGAGTTCCCCGAGCGACAGGGGTTCCACACGCGCCGCCATAGCAGATAAGACAGGGGGTTGAAGTCGCTGGCGAGGCCGGCGAGGATGTAGGAGGCGATCTCCTTGTCCTCCAGCTTCTTCCCATTCATGCGGCTGAAGTACTCTGCAATGGTGGATGCGCCGTGGCAAACACCATCCGAGTGTTGATGACGCGACCACGGGACTGTGACGTGTACATGTCCTGGATGGCCTGCCAGGCTTCTGCCGCTGTGGACGCGATGGACACCTGAACAAGGATCTCACGAGAGATGGAAGATAACAAGTAATTAAGCACTTGCTGATCTTTGGTGACCCAGTTTTCATACTCTGGGTTGGGGATCATCTTCGTCGGCTTGTCCGCCGACCTGGCGATTTCCTTCGTCGGCACTAGAGCATCGGTGCTGATGAGATGCGCCACCTGTGCTCCACGCAAGGCCGACATGACCTCCGCCCTCCACAGAGGGAAGTTGTTCTTCGCGAGCTTCTCAGTGACATGAAGATGGAGACCGAGGCACCAGGAGCGGAAGAAGAAGCCATGAACTAGATCGTGGAGGAACATAGCACGGATTACCATGTGAAAATGGGTGTAACGTGATGCCTTCTTAGGCTCACAGCTCCTTGTTATATAGGCTAGGAAAAGCCCCTAGCGTGACATTACATCTTGGAGTACAAGACAAGGAAGATTTACATGGAAAGAAAGATATCAATCAATCAATCTACTTACAATACAAGGAAACAACAAATATGGAGCCGTAACTTGAGAAACAATCCGCACCACTGTGATCACTTGTCACGTATATTTCCAACAGGGCTAATATTAACCTCATATGATTCCGCCACATTGTTCTTAGCCTTGTCTTTTTTGTCTACATTAGCGGCATTTTTTTATACCTGTACCTAAATCTAGAACTTAGGCCTGTTTATTAATTCAAAAGGAAGCTCTCCTACCTTTTACATTCTTTTTTCTAAAAAAAGTTGTATCTAATTATCAGAGTTCTGGTCTTTCAAATAGTTCTTTACAGATGTGCATCACTTCAACTTAGACTTCATGAAATTTTAGATTGCTACTGAACTTGTTTCCTTAAGGTATTTCTCATTTTTTAATCTCCTCTTGGAGAACAATTGCAATTGGATCTTTTACCAAATATTGGCCCTATTTGGCAGAGCCCCAACTCCAAAGAAAAAAAAACTGTGCATATCTAGCTCCAGAAATCTGTGGAGCTGGAGCTCACCTAAGTTGTTTGGTAGTTCTAGACAGAGAATAGTCTTAAGATTCTTGAATTTAGCATACAAACTCGAGTGGAGCTGGAGGCCTGCCAAACCCTTCATGCTGCAACTGGCATTGGCACCATCTGCAACTCATTTTTGTGGGAATGGCAAGTTGTATAATCTTATAATTGTTCCTTTTATTTCCATGTATTAGTTGGTATCTTCGATATAGATTGAAATAGAAAATCATTGTTACCACAGTGCCTGAAGCAAGGTTATTTTTCCTCTTTTATGTACGACCTGACAGCCGGTGTACTAAAAATACATAAAAATAGTTACTAACATACATGACCTAGATACATTACGTGCACTGCAAAGCAGGATTGGTAATAATATTTTCAGTGTTCTGAAATTGTACTGGATGCTGTAAGTTATAAGTATGTTTGGTTACAAAGTTGTTACTGATTATGGAGCCATGCATTTATAGGATGTAGTGCAGAAAGGCACCAGAGGTTGGAAGAAGATTGTAAAAGCCTTTGGGAATGATATTTTGTTGGAAAGTGGAGAAATTAACAGAGCTCTCTTGGGACAAATCGTATTTTCTGACCCATCAAAACGTCAACTTCTAAACCGGTACAGATTTCAATAATATTTTGTCATCTTCCGATCTCTTTTATATGAATGCAGTTGTAGTAGTCAATGGTCTAATACTCTTACACAATGTTTAGTGCAAACTGATTGCTAAAAAGAGAATAGTTACCTTGCTTGCATCAAGGGCAACTATCATTCTTTCTGTAGATGATAAAAAAAGTTGGGATTGTTTGGTTATATGTTTATTAGTTATATATTCATAGTAATATGCTGAACTGTGTTGAGTTTTATTTGGCTTAGTATCACAAGGCCTTAAGTACTAGGTATTTAGTTTTAGAAAGGGCTTGGTCCATATGTTCTCACTCACTTTTTTGTTTGGTTTGGGGAAGGGAATGGGTTTATCCACCACCACCTCAATTCTCACAAGGCAATAATTACTATAAGCATGAGCGATGGAGTCATTCACTCAAAATTCATGAGATGGACTCACGATGAACCACCTCAATCTAAACACACCCTAAATGTGACAAGACTTACATTAGCTACTCTAGTAGAAAATGGAAGTGGATACATTAAAGATGTTATAATAAACTGTGATACTACACTGCCCTCTTCTAATTTTAACCTCCTTGTATAGTTTCTCATCACTGCCGCTTGAGATCACAATGCTTCCTTCGTACTGGCATATTTACTATATACTTGTTCTGTTGTATTTGGCATAATTGTTCAATTGGCTGAATCATTTATTCTTCTTTTATCAATAGTTGGCATTTATTTACAGTATTGGTACTAGTGTACAGTTTCCTTGATAACTTATTGGTCACTTTCAGTCTTCTGGCACCGCATATTTCTTCTGGCATAGTCTGGGAGATAGCAAAACTGTGGATGAAAGGCTGCAAGGTTATCATCCTTGACATCCCTCTGCTATTTGAGACAAAGATGGATACATGGACAAATCCAGTCATTGTTGTCTGGGTTGATCCAAAAGTCCAGATTGAGAGGCTCATTTCAAGAGATGGATGCTCTGAAGAACAAGCTCAGAATAGGATCAATGCACAGCTTGCACTAGACTGGAAGAAATCAGAAGCAGACATAGTGATTGACAATTCTGGCTCTCTGGATGATACCAAAGAGAAATTCCAAGAAGTGTTGAGGAAAGTCTCGGAGCCCTTGACATGGAAGGAACGCTTGAGATCTAGAGATGGTCTCATCTCTGTTGTCGTCTGTACTGCAGTGGGCATATTACTTGCCCAGAAGAATCTGCTATGATCATTACAAGGTTTAGGAAAGTAAAAATGTTGATACAGTTTTAGAGGACCGGCACAACTAAGCTTATCTAATGTCTCTGAGTCTGGAAAGTGAAGGGCAACATTTGAGACTCAGCAATGAAATAAATTTCGTAAGAACCACTGTTTTTAGTTGCCCTTACTGGTTAGTGGTTCAAGTAATCGAAGTCTGCATTTAGGGCTTGCTGGGCTCAGCCAAATCTTGTACCAAACTATGTGGATGCGATGGGAATTACAACTATATTCAGCCTATGGCCTATCCATGTGCATATGATTTTTTTTTTACCGACTAAGGGGCTGTTTGGATTATCATGAGCTAATTGTTAGCTAGCTATTTTTTTAGCTCAAATTAGTTCTAATGTATCAAATTAAGAGGGATAATAGGTGGGCTAATTGTTAGCCAACTAGCTAGCCAATCACGACATTTAAGCTAATTTTTAGCTCCGACTAGTAATTAGCCACGTGTACCAAACATGCCCTAAAGCACGGCCACGCATGCATATCTGCACAGCCTAATTATGGAAGCCAGTTGATTAGAAGCCTGCCATTTCTGGCAAATTACCTAGTACTCCCTTCAGTCATCACACAAAGTGTTGTTTTCAGGTTAGTCAACTTCAACTTTTCAATTTTGAGTACACATTACTCTTTTTTTTTTTTATAAATGTACAGATTACTCTTTCAATCTTGAGTTTTTTCAAAGTGATACGTGTATATTTGTTTTAAAAAATAGTTTGATATTATGCATTTTTCAAAGTTTGATTGAAATGGTTGATTTTAGAAAACATAATATATCACTTATTTGTCACTGGACAGAATAATCAATTCTGAACGTCGGTGCCTGTTTGACTAAGAAAAGCACATGTATGCTACAGATCGCCATGGCTAGCGCCCGGATGTCCGAATGCTAGCCCCCCGTCTGGATGCCCGCGTTGCTACCCCAAGTCCTACGTCGCGCGCTTGCCCGCCTACGTCTCGCCTTCTGTGTCCGTCCGCATGCACGTGGGGGCCGCCCTCGCTAGTGGGGACCGCCTCCGCCTTCCTACGTCTGACATCGAGACGAGACAACAGAAAAGACGAGAAGGAAAATGTAAGACTCGATCTAGTTTTAGAAACATTCAGATTCAGATGCATTGTAACATACGTCTAAAAACAAATAAAACATTTGAAACATGCATCTAAAACACCTGAAAAAATATTTGAAACCATTGTAAACATACGCAACATCCAGACAAAACACTTGCATCATATGTGTGAAAACATATACAATGTTCAGATAAGCACACTTGCAACATACGTCAGAAAAAAACAGATGAAACAATAAGAATAGGAGCTTGCAACATACGTGTACAACTATTGCAACATGTGCAATATTCCGATCTACTTTTGCAACATCCGTATTAAACACTTGCAACATATCTTTGAAACATTTGAAACACTTGAAACAGACGCTTACAACATGCAGTTTTAGCGCAAACATCTCCTTACTGCTTGGGAGAATAGAGGCTCGTCAACATGTGGAGTTCGTCGAAGGCAGCGACCCGGCGGTGCTTGTAGGCAGCGGCTTGGCAGTGGCTATGCGATAGGGCAGGGAGGCAGCGGCCTCGCGCCGCGCCTGGCAGGGCCGGTACCCGAGCGCCGCGACTCATAGGCAGCCACGCGCCAAAACCAAGAGAGGGCAGTTGCGCGCCGCATCTTGTAGGGCTAGCAGTCGAGCACTGCATGCGGGAGCGGTGCCGAGCGCCGTGTGCGGGAGGGAAGCGGAGCGGAGCGAGGTGTGTGTAGGGTCGAGATGGCGGACTAGAGGGGTGGTGAATAGTCCTTTCTAAAACCTAATCGCACCGGCCAACTGAAATAAATGCGGAATTAAAACTATCGGTCTAGCCAAGATTACACCCCTATCTAAGCTCACAAGCACCTTATAAAAGATCCTAAAGAGGCAACAAAAGTGCCGGGCTAGCTAGTGCTCACCTATCCAATTCTAACTTCCAAGATCACACAAATCTATACAACTAGTACTTCAAGCAACGGGGGAGCTCCTACATAACTAGTAAGCAAAAGCACAAAGCTCCTAAGCTCACTAACAATGCTCAATAACAAGGCAACTAATGCCAAATTAGAGAGCACAAATTACTTAGCTACACAAACTAAGTAATGTGACTAACAAGGTTACTCAAAGCAAATTAGTCACGCAAGAGCTACTTCTATGCTACACAAGCAAGAAGGCAACTAGCAAGCTACTAAAGCTAAACTAGTCACAAGAGCAACTACACAAGCACAAAGTATGAAATGTAAATACAAGCTTGTGTTGCGCAGAATGCAAACCACCGAGAAGATGATGAAGACAATGTTGACACGGTGATTTTCTCCCGAGGTTCACTTGGTTGCCACAAAGCTACGTCCCCGTTGTGTCGACCGCTCACTTGGTGGTTCAGCGGCTAATTGGCATCACCCGCCAAGCCCACACGTCGGGCACCGCAAGAACCTACCCTGAAAGTGAGGGTAGCTCAATGACACGCTCAACTAGAGTTGCTCTTCGCGATCCCCGCAGGGTAAGCGCAATCCCCCTCACAAATCCTCCTCCGAAGCACCGCACAATATTCTCACGTGCTTCAACGAAGTCGTAAGCCACCAAGCCATCTAGGAGGTGGCAACCTCCAAGAGTAACAAGCGCCACCGGCTTGCAACACGATCACCTAGTGCCATTCGATGCAACTTCATGATGCAATCGCACTAGAATCGCTCACTCACTTGATCGGATGATCACTATCAAGCACAAGTGAGTTAGAGAGCTCCCAAGCACACCTACACAAGCCACCAAGGCTTAAGGGTGCTCAGCAACCAGCCCAAGCCCGAGCTCCACCTCTATTTATAGCCCCCAACCCAAATAGAGCCGTTGGAGCAAAGCTGCTGGTTTCTACGAGGGCACCAGACATGGCGGTGCCTGGCACCGGACACAGTGGTGCCCTCCCCAACGGTCGAATTCCAACGGTCGTTGGTCACCAAACAGCTAGGGGTGGTGCACCGCCATAGGGGTGGCGGTGACTCTCGAGCCAACTGCGCGAAACACCAGCTCTCTAGATAAAAAGGGGCGGTGCCCCAGCGGTGCACCGGACAGCCCCTAGCGGTGCACGCCAGACACGGCGGTGACCGAGTCACCCACGCTGCTGCTCTCGACCTCGGTCCGGTGGGCACCACCCTAGGGGTGGCGGTGCCATCGGATAGGCAGTGGTGGTGCTCCCTAGGGCACCAACCAACTCCTCCCTCTCGGCCTCCAGGTGGGCACCGCCCTGGCGGTGCCACCATACAGCACTCCGAGCCTAGTTTCGCCTCCTCTTCTTTATCAACTTCTTCACCTTTACAAATATGCTAACACCACCAAGTGATCACCAACTTGTGCATGTGTGTTAACTTTTCACAAATATTTTTCAAAGGATTAGTCACTCGATTCACCATGCCACTCGATCCTAGCAACGATGCAAAGTTAGATCACTTGAGTGGCACTAGATGACCGATATGCAAACAAGTTTGCTCCTCTTAATAGTACGGCCATCTATCCTAAACCCGGTCATAAACTTCTCTACTCACCTATGACCTGTGAAATGAAATGCCCTATAGGTAATACATTTGCCTTGCGCATTCCATTCCATCTCTTCCAGTGTTGATGCAACACATGCACCAACCATATCACAAATGATATGATCCACTTCATATCATCACGTGACCTTATTGGTTCATCGATCTTGACCTCACTTGCTTTTCACCGTTGCCTTCATCCATCGGTGCCAAGTCTTGCTCAAGCTTCACCGCCACGCGGTCCATCGCTCCAAAGCCTCCAACTTGCCCTTCACGCTTGCAATCGGTCCATCAAGCCAAGTCTTGTCTTGATCTTCTCCACCTTAGTCACATGACTCAATGTCATGTCTCATATGCAATGAGCTCCTTCATTACATGTGTGAGCCTTGCAACAAATCCAAGCCATTTCACCTCCATGGCATAGGTTGCTCATACATGATGTACTTGTGGACTAATCACCTGTGTATCTCACTCAAACACATATTAGTCCACCGAAGGTTGTCACTCAATTACTAAAACCAAACAAGGACCTTTCAATCTCTCCATTTTTGGTAATTGATGACAACTCTACAAAGATATAGAAATTAAGCTCTTTTGGATTCATGTTGTTTGCCCAAGCAATTTTACCATGTATAAATGATTTTGGACAAGTACCACAAACCTGAATTAGTAGTATTAGCTCCCTCTACATATGTGCTAGAGTGTTTGGTTTGAAGCTCGCACATATGCATAGATTGGAATTGTGGGAGAGTAATTACTACCAATGATGCTAAGGTGTAAAGAATTAACCTTTGAAGCGTGATACCAATCGGACTTGCATCTTTAAGTTCATCCTTAGCACCGTGAGTAGCTAGACAACAAATATACTAGAAACCCCATGAGATCAACATTATAAGCAAGGTTCTAGTACCACGTGTAAAAATACAAGTCTAACTACCAACCTATACATGCTAGTTATCAAATCATCATTCAAGTTTTACAACTAGCATATAACACACAAGCATGCATATCAAATTTAAAAACTTATGCAATGCAAGCAAGCACATGAATATGCACATATCAAATGCAATCAAACAAGTTCATGAGCTTGCTCCCCCCTACTTGTGTGCTTTTCTTGTCCAAGAATTTTGATCCTCTCATATTCTTCAATGTTGCTCCCTCTTTGTCCATATTTATGTCCAAATCCAACTTCCCTCAATATCTTTGTACTAATCTCTCCCCCTTTGTCATCATTTTTCATAAAAGATGTGCATCTCTTGATACAAAGGGTTGCATTGGGGTAGATGGTTGACACTTGAATCTTACATTTTTTATGGACATCACTTCATATGTTGGAATGACACCATTTGGATAGCTCTTGAGATACCACTCATAGGATCTTTGACCTTGATATCAATCGGTGGGACACCT